AGAGAATAATTGAAACTGTGCTACTGTAATCAGTTTACACCATGTTGTTACTAGATGCTTTATTTGTTACCGTAAATAATGATTATTTCTTGTTTATGAATCCATAACAGAAAATCTATACCTTGTGATATATGTTAGAATAAAAACTAGTGATTTCATTGACGAATACTATTTCTTGACTTGAGGAGTTGTCAGTCTTCGCTCAACTGACTAGCACGTCATAGCACATAATGTTAGATAAGTATTCATGACATCTATTACAATCCCTTTTTTCTGTCAATAGTTCACAGCTTCATTAATTGATCTCTAAACCCAACTTGCTAATTTACACCCAGCGTTAATATAATTTACATAATACGTGAATAGTACTTGGTACTACTACTTACTCTTGTTACCCCTCGTGAAAGAACACTGTCCGCCCACCAGCACTCTCCATTCAACCTTGTTTTTTGTAATCCTTTCCATCTCTTTTTAGTTGTTATTCATCCTTTTCATATCTGCTTCTATTTTCTGACATTATATATATAGGTCGAGCTTCAGGATCACCAACATTGGATGCTTTTGCTACATTACTTTATCTTGGTAATAAAGGTTGGAATGATTTAATTCAACGTCAATCTATATGTTTCAAACGATTACATAATGGATTAAAACAATTAAGTGAAAAATTTAATTTAAAATTATTAGATACTTCATCCAATCCTATTTCATTAGCATTAAGTTTAGAAAATCTTCTTCCTAAAACAATTATTATACAGAAATTCGGGAAAAATAATATGATAGAAGATAATCAGAAAAGAGAGATATTTCGTCAACTAACACAAATTGGTGCTAATCTTTTCACACAAGGATGTTCAGGTGTAAGGTAAGTAAATTTCATGATTAGATTAACTTGTAAACGATGAATATGAACTTTATTGGTTGTTTTTTTTTGTTTTGAATTAGCTAATGCTTCAAATTTTATTCTCATAGCTATGTCATGTTGGTAGATGCAGACTATTTGGTTGGGGTTAGTGTAACTATCTTAATCAATGGTTGGAGTTTCTGAATGACATGGCTCTAAATCGTTCACAATGATGTCAGTGTATACACTTTCTGTCTTCCCTTAAACTATGAGATGAAAATCGCTCTATATCTTTCTTTCTACGAACTAATTCTTTCTTGCTATACTCTATCTTTGTATGCAATCTGTCTTTTATATATATTACTACCATTAAAGCGACTACTTCTATGAAAGCTGGTGTTTATCTTGCTGTGCTAATCAGGTGTGGCTACTTGGATCGATGCATATATGTGCCTGGTCCTACGTTGTAGTTGACTGACTGACTGAGAGTCACACATTGTCACTCATTATAAAAACATGAGATTTGTTCTAGATTAGATAAGAAGTGTTTCATTGTTATAATGTGAGAAAATTAGAAATACTTATTCATAGTAGCTGACGTTCCAAATTCTCATATCATGTGATGATCGTGGTTGCAGTGTCTCTCTCTCTCTCTCTCACACACACAAAGAAACTTGATTATCAATGAATGAGTCAGATTATTTCATCATATTTTATTCTTTATCATAGAAATAACACGTTTCATTACTCGTATTCAATATGTCATGCTTTAGATACCTTTTAATTGTTGCTCTTTTATCAAGTTCATCTTTATTCTACTTGTCACCATGTTGTAAAGTAAATAGATACATTATAGTCAGATATATAATTTTAAAAAAAACAAAGATGGCAACTCATTTACTAAGTACTGATGGTTATTGTATTAGGCTTCATTTTATGAATTTAAGCTTGTCATACTGTCCAACTTAGTTATATCACTAGATTATGAAGTCTACCAATTATGAGTTCAGTTTACTCCTATCAGACTGATGATTTGTCTAACCAATAACAAAAATGATCATCAGTAACTACCATAAATTACTATAAAACCTATTGGTCCATCCAGATCCTTAATGATCAAACAGAACACATTCAACGCTTCAACATCTATCGTTATACGATGTAACGGAAGAAGTCAGTAGTTTAGAAAAAGCATGGTATTTATTGAAGACAGAGTTTAAGTAGAATAACCTTGTGTATTTAGCAGCAAAGTATGATGTAGAATTAGTCTACTTAGGATTATCGTTGCAAGAGAGAAATGAACATGAATCAAAAATAAATAACTTAATACCATCTGTCACTGAGAAAAGTTTTACGTAAGTTTAGTTATTGCTTACTTTGATTGCCATTACTTTTTAGTGTTACGGTAGGCTGGAAGAAAGCTAGAGAGCGAAAGAGAGCCGAACTAAGACATGGAATTAGTCTATGAAATTATTGATTGTTGTTGTTCTTAGGTGCGCATATGACCTGATTGAGGCTAATATTTACAAACCATAAATGACGTGGTTCAAGACCCATCAGAGTGACTTGGATGCATTGATTGTTTTATCTTGTGGTTTTCAAGTTAAATACTTTAATTCCATGAATCCACTCCTTCTTTTTTTAAATGGTATTTTCATGATTTGGTTTTTTCTATTATCATTGAAATTATTGTTATTTAAACTTCTTTGCATATAATCAATTTCATATAACTGTACTGTAATGTTTTTTTTGCGAGGAATGCACATTCATAACAATCTACTGATTTCCTATTCCGAAGAAATCATTTTATATTGAACTCATAATGCCCCCTTTTAAGACTTCTTAATATTTCTTCTATCTTATAGTTTATCTTATTTTTCTAATATATACCATTAACAACTTGGACTGACACATATATATTAGATTAAGATCATGAACCGACTGATGTAAGACCACCATTGAAAACCCAGAAGCGCTGGACAGCCATTTCGTCCTATTGTGAGACTTCTCAGCAGTGTGCATCCACGATCATGCTCGTGGGATTCGAACCCAGGTCCTTCGGTTTCCTGTGCGAACGCTTAACCTCTAGACCACTGAGCCGGTCGGCATCCAACGGTATTAATGTCCAAATTCAACCAATCCATGAAATTACGTGACCATCTTTCATACCTGTCTTAACCCAACACGGATTAGCTCCACTAAGTCACAGCTTCTCACTAAGTAGGTACTAATTATAATGTTATTTCAATTTGTTTTTACATTGATTTCTAGAGTTGTTCTACCGGCATCTATGCAAAATTCTATCAAATTAGATGTTTATGAATTTGATGGATTTAATTCACATAGTTCCACATCTATTATACCATATATTAATGCAGCTTCATCAATTGGTCAAAATGAATATGAAATTGATGTATTTATTAAAAAACTTGATAAAATTTTACAATATTTTCAATATTATATAATAAATAATTATAATATTGATTTAATGAATATTGTTACTACTATGACTACAATAAAGGATGATGATGATGATAATAATGAAATTGATCAAGATAATGATGTTTTGTCCAAAGAATCATTCAAATTGAATTCCCGCTTTATCTAATTTGAATTCAATATGCAATTGTGTAAATACTATGTACATCGTGTTTTTGTTTTTTTCGCGCCCTTTTTTTGTTGTTTGTTTGAAAATGGTATCTGTTACTTTTGTTATTTCTATTAGTTACCTTTGTAATTTCTTGTTTAGAGATTTATTGATTTTCTATTTTGTTATTTTTGTTGTTGTTGATGTTTTTCTTTTCTTTTCGTTTCTTTCTGCTTCTTCTTACTTCTGCATTTGTTTTAATCTAAAGTAAAGAAGTAAAGGGATATTCATGAAATGATTAACATTGTTTATTCTATTCATATATATAAAACAAATTGTATTCATCTTCATTACTTAATGACTAATGCTTGTTACTCCTAATGGAGTATACGCCACTGACCATCATTGTCTAACCCAATCTATCCTGGGTCGAGGCAGAGTTATTCATCTTCATTAGTATATATATACATCTTAATTATAAATCTAAATAAAATTGGTATTTATTTAATGAGCTCATACTATTTGATGGGTGGAATATGATTTATTCCCTTTAAATAGTTTAACATTAATCATAGAAGGATGAATGATTTCATAACTGTGATGTTGTCTAATTCAATATAGACTATTGTATAAGTAGTTTAATAGTAGTGTTGTTATCTATTATCATCATTTAAATGGGTGTGTTATTAATTATGAAAATACAGAGAGATTAGTTCATTCTATCTCATGTTCCTTTGTAAGTGATACAAATAAGGTCTGTTTATTTTTTGTTATTTGTGCTAACTTTAATCTTGATGGTGAATATTCAAGTGACTAGATAAAAACAATAGAGAATTGTAAGAAGACTACTATTTTCTATGTTACAAAACTGTTCATAGATCAATGTGAAATTTAGTTTGAAAATTTCTTTTATACTTTTAACTGGTATGAATAAATACAGTTCGACATACAACAAAATTTGCTCAAACTATTGTAACTAAATGGTTGGAAACTCTAGTTGACATGGCTCACAATTGATCACTATGGTGTAGGTGTATACACTCTTTATCTCCTCTTGAATCGTGAGATTAACATTGCTTTATACCTTTCTTTCAACGAACTAATTTTTTATTTCTATACTATATCTTTATATACAATCTTTTTTATACATTACTACCATTGAAGTAACTACTATGAATTTCGTGTTGAACTTTTTGTGCTATTGAGGTATGGCAACTTCGATCGATGTATATATGTGCCTGGTCCTACGTTGTAGCTGACTGACTGAATGATACTTTCAATACGATAAGATGCCTTAAAACAGTGATATGATATGAACCAATATGAGTTATCTCAGTATTCATTTGCTCAACGATAGTCGACATTAATTTGATCAACCAACATTCTTTATTGAAATGAATATACTGGATACTTACATACTGACTGTTCATTGGAAACTCTACATATTACATTCATCTTGTTGTGCTAATGAGGTGCGGCAACTTGGATCGATGCATATATGTGCCTGGTCCTACGTTGTATCTGGATGGATAATCAAAATATAAGTTTTACACTTAACGGAATTTGAAAATGTTTTTACAACAACGCAAAATAATATGTTGTGACGTGTAAGTCGATTTATGTCTGTCATATTGATATTACTTTTTAAACTTATCATTTGAATTAGCGAGTTGTTGTTTTCTAGGAAATTGATGGCACCTCAAACTGACAGTGGCTTCAGAAGTTGATGTTACTCTCTGTTTTGAAAACACTTCTTATCGAACTTTGCAAATTCTGATTGTCTGTAGCTGTTCTGTTGTAGCATCACCTACTAACTACAAGTAATTTGATGTGTGATTAGTATGGGTAATATGTAATTGGCCATCGAACATAGACAACCAAACAATCAGTTCAATGTTCAGTTTCCTTTCTATCTATCTTTAGTTCCTGATCAGATCTCATTGATTGTGAACTGTCTGTAGTTTTGTTATTTAAAATATTGTCTAGCTTATAGTCTGGTAACCTATTTTGGTCATTTATTTGATCTAACCTGATCAAGTTTATGTATATTGTATCGTCCGAGTATCTAGTTACAGCAGAATCTTAGGTTATATTATAGTAGTATGATGTAACAAATAGTAATCTTATATTCCTAAGCTAGCCACTATCTATCATTGCTTAAAAAGCTTATGACTCAAGGCTATATCGAGGCCATCCGCACAGCATGCACATATACCAACAAGAGACTGATTAATTGCAGTCCTAAATAAAAATGGGAAGATACAAGTAAAACAACACCAAATAAATTTAAACTTCACTTCATTGCACAACCAGGAATCAGTAGCTAAGTAGATAGCGTGATGGGATTTGAAGCGGACGGTATTGGGTTCTAGTCGCAGAGTGAACATCAACTCTGAGATTCAGGTACATCTAGGTGACGAGTCCTAAATAAAACGAAACGCTTCAACGTAGATTCCACTGCTAGCCACTATCCATCTTTGCTTAAAATAATAATCTTATTCCCCCGTTATATTCTAATTCCTATGAATTTTCTAACAAATAGTAAATATAGATATATAATCAATAAATTATACTGTTAAAAGTACATTCTTCATAATCTTCAAGTTATTGAAATATTTGCGCTTCTATTGAATTTAAACAATTTAGAATTGCGAATTCCAGGCAGTACACGTGATTACTCTATGATAATTACAATCTCTTTTTTTTCGGTTTTTCATCTTACCCCCTAACATATAAACAAACATACTTTTTTATGATAAGCACTTTATTATTTTTTGTCTACAAATTTTATGTGTTCATTCAATTATTATTTACATTAAATAGGTTTGTACAGATTCAATAGATTATTGATTACTATGGATACAAGAATTTGATTCATGTAATTGGAAGGTTACATAATGAATCTGAAATAGTTAAGGATTAATAGAACACAATGGTCTTAATAATCATACAGCATTGAATGATTTTATAGTCATAAGTTAGGGATCATTTATTTATTTGAACACATGAATATTGGTACAAGAGAGCGCCAATATATATGCGCCACACAAAACAATGAGAATTCGAAGAGAAATAGAAAAAAAACCAAGGAGCGCAAAAAGAAAAAGAGAACAATAACGAAGAGATTGGTGTAAGGTAGTATGGTAGAAATGAGGGAACGGAAAGGTACAATCAGAAGAAATCTTTCAGGTAAGGGAGACACAACCACTTTTTATGAAGAAAGTAAAAGAAGGTTACAACAGGATCAACACTGGCTTCTATTCTGAGCCATATCTGATAACGTCTCTAGCCACTGTGTAGCACCATCTCTAAGACCCCAGCCAGAGAGTCGTGAAGGACCAACAGAAGCCAGCCCTTTGCAGCTTTCTTTCATACTACGACACCATGTCATACACTGACCACCTCTCCGCTTTTTCCAACCAGTCCCAGAGTCGGCAAATAATGCACGACATGGAATCCTCTGGGACGACATTCGTAGGACATTTCCAAGCCACCGAAGTCGGTGTTTCAAGATGGTGACATCGATTGCATTATCGTCTCTGTGCCCGAACACACGATGCCGAACCTCTGCATCACTAACATGGTGTTGCCACTGAATGTCAGCAATCCTTCGGATACAGCGATGATCGAACACAGAGAGTTGTCTAACGTCCTCAACTCGGAGAGACCAGGTTTCACAAGCATAGAGCAAAACTGCTCTCACCGACGCGTTGTAGATCCGGCCTTTTACAGCCAGACTAACATCACGAAGGCGCCAAAGGTGGCCCAGATTGGCATAAGCCGCTCTGGCTTTCACTATTCGTGCATTGATCTCATCACTCACACCCCCACCAGCACTTATGCAGCTACCCAGATACACGAACTTCTCAACTACGTCTATCTGCTCACCGTCCAGGGTGAGTTCAGGATTAGAATCCTGCCAGTCTTGTAGAAGTACTTTGCACTTCGAAGGTGCAAAGCACATACCATACCTACGGACACTGAGTGCCAACTGATTTATTTTATTTTAACACATAGATATTGGTACAAGAAGGCACCAAATACATATGCTCCACACAAATCTTATTCGATATGTACGACGGCTGTGATACTGCCCGGGTGCCCAAACCGAAGCAGGTGGTTTTCTTAGGGGGCCACTCCCCGAGCTTTTGACCTAGAGGTTTTACCCACAAGGCAGTGGAGCATCGTAAGGAGATGCAGTCCCATGGTAGCCGGTGACCAACGATTGGTTCATACGCCATTTGTTCCCTCACGATACTGGAGCCCATGTGCACCATCAGTTTGGGATCCGGTTAAAGCGCCGGACATTCGCTTTTCGTCCTCTCATTTTTGTAAATAACACCCCAGCCACGAGAAGGCAGTGAGTAGGACTTCCCTGGCAGAGGCTATATACGCGTGGCCATGTGAGAGCATTTGGAGAGGGAGGGCGGACTTTCCCCACTCTCGGCCGTACCAGGGCATTTGGGGGCATGCCTTGGGCATTATCGCACAGTAAGACAATATCTTCCGCATACTCAAGGTCGAGAAGTCTTTCTCCAGGCAACAGATCCACACCGCCATTACTTACATCCATCAGCGCTGTTTCCAGAATGTCATCGATGGCAAAGTTGAAGAGGAATGGTGAGGTTGGGCAACCCTGCCTAACCCCACTGCTCGAATGGAACAATGGAGAGAGGTGGTTGTATGACCTCACTCTGCCTGAGGTGTTTTTATACAGGGCTTTTAGGATGTTAATAAACTTCTCAGGCACACCCTTCTTCAATAGACAATCCCAGAGAACAGTCCTATCCAACGAATCGAAGGCAGCCCTGATGTCAAGAAACACTACGATTGTTGGCCTTTGAAAAGTATGGCGGTGTTCTAACATTTGGAGGAGGATGAAGATATGATCAATACATCCTCGACCAGAACGAAACCCACCCTGCTCCTCGCGAGTCAATCTTTCTCGGGTTTTGAACAACCTACGAAGAATGACGGAAGCCAATAGGTTGGACGCAATCGGAAGTAGACTTATCCCCCGATAGTTGTTACAGGAACGACGTGAACCCTTTTAAAAGATAGGGACAAATATCGACTCATTCCATGACGTTGGCACACTCTCTAGTTCCCACACCTTTGTAAACAACGTCGTCAATTCCTTAGTCAAAAAGTCACCACCATCTTTAAAAAGAGCCGGAGGTAAGTCATCTGGGCCAGGTGATTTGTAACGCTTCAAGAGTTGGAGTTCCTTGCGGACTTCGTCCTCGTTTGGTGGATCAGTCGTCACCGGCCATGGAGGGCGGGACAGTCTGACCGATGTTGCCGGAGCAGCAGGCCAGTTGAACTGCCCTTCGAAAAATTCTGCCCATCGTCCAAGACGTCGATGGATGTTAGTGATTGGCATCCCATCATCCTCGCAGATTGTTTCACTCACACCAGACTTCTTGCTGCCAGTGGCTCGGATGAGTTGGAAGAGCTTCCGGTAGTTACCAGATGCAGCTGCTGCTTCCAGCTCATTAGCACGCATCGACTACCAGGCTTCTCGGTCCTTACGCAACCTTTGCCCGATCTCCTTACATAGCATCCTTCGTTTATGGTCAAACTCACGGTCACCCGGAGTAGACCGACGGGCTTCAATGAGTTGTAAGGAACCAGAAGAAACCCAGTGCTTAAAAGCGGGACGTTTCGCAAACCCACAACTGACTGTTCCCGCCATTTTCATGGCGTCATGCAATTGCAACCAATGCTCATCTATACTTTTCGGTGGAGTGGTAGCTAGCCTAGAGGCTAGCTCGGTTCGATACTTACTTGCAACAGAAGTTGCAACCAGCTTGCTAACATCAATCCGTTGATGGCGTTCACTTCGTTGTCCACTGAAAAGTAAGGCAAGATTGGCGCAGACCAAGGCATGGTCAGAGTCCAGATAGGTACTCCAAAAGGAGCGGCAGTCTTGTGAACAACCACGCCAGCGGTAGCTGATCGCGATGTGATCAATCTGAGTCCAGGCGTGAGATGCAGAGGGAGGACGCCAGATGGCACATCGGCGATGGCTGTGCCGAAAGTTAGTGCTAGCCAGAAACAGGTTGTGGTCTGTGCACAGTTGCAGTAGACGGTCCCCGTTATCTGACCTGCGACCAACGAGTCCTCATCGGCCACCTAAACGACCCTCTTCCGTGCCTAGACGCCCGACCTGAGCATTCAAGTCTCCGGCTAGTACTACAATATCTGTCGAACACACTTTCTGGAGAACAGATAACTGGTGGTAAAACTCATCCTTGATTGCATCCGGGCTGCAATCTGTCGGAGCATAGGCGGAGATGACGAAAAGACATCGTTTCTCACGCCGATTTCTTCTCACTTTGATGGAACTTTCTAATCTAACAGCACATAACCGACTGTTAATGGGGATCCAATCTACTGGTGCTGCCTCAGCTCTAGCGTTTAGTGCGACACCGACCCCAGCAAGACTAGACGAAGATGCCACAGGGTCCCCGGATAAGCGCATGTAAAACAAGTTTTCGAAGCGACAGATGGAGATCGAATTTGTAGTACTTCGCCAGAGTCTTGAATACGGGTCTCGGATAGACAACAAACATTAATATTAAGACTTTCCAATGACATAGCCAGC